ATCATTCCCAAATCTTTGTTTGTGAAGCCTAGCCATGAGACTACACATCACTAATGACTGCAGGACTTCTAATGAGGACAGACTGCTGGTTTTTAAAGCTATCATATAATTTCTGCTTGATGCAGACTGAAAAAAAATGAATATTCTCAGTGGAGCCCCTTCAGAAGAGCACTCATGCTCAGTGAAGGCCAGACATGGGTGTGTTTGATTTCCCTGACCTTACTTTTGAGAAAAGTGGAGTCACTTCTTAATAAATTCAGAAGGGGAGGAAACCATTCCCACTCGGCTGCCTGGATTTTAGTCACCTCCCTGGCCACACTCAGCGAGAGCAGTTCAGTGAAGGGATGTTGTGAGACTGTCAAAGCACTTTCAAGTACCAGCAAATTGAAAAACAAGGTGCCCACGGGGGGAGTGGTGACATTGTGAGGCCGTAGCCCTGAGGCATTTTGGATCGATGTACAGTGAGCTGCTCACAGGACTTAATGAAACAATTACAGCCCTCCCGTTGATTGGCTTTGTTTTCCCCCACGGATCAATAGATTATCCACTGTAAATGTCGATGTGTTCCTTCTCTCCTAGGTCACTCTGCAAGGGAATGATGAACAACATGCTAAACATGCTTTGGAACTGCTGCTACAGATAAATGTCTGAGTTTCTAAGGACTCAGAACTGAAAGATGCTCACATGTGCAAAAGAAAAACTGAAGACACAACAACAACGACAAAGAAACACAAAGGAAATGTGAATGGAAAAGCAGCTGTTAAAAAGCATCAAAATCTTCAGTGCATTAAATGGGAGGTATATTTTGACAACTTCTCTTTTTTTGGATTGAGTGGGCTTTTTGTTAGGAGAGTCCTGTCTTTTCAGGAATGTCCATTTTTAATTTTAGCAAGTCTCATTTTTCTGCTTAATTGTTCTGCTTTTTCCCCATTGTGTAAGCAGTAACTATTTTTTATTTTACAATACAAAGCGATAAATGAAAAGTACAGGTTTAATATATTAAAAGCTGACCAGAAGAAGATACAGAAGCTCCAGTTCCATTATACAGCACTGGGTTTCTAGAGTATCTCCATGCATGAACACAGGAGGTTTGAGAGGATCACCTGAGGCAGGTATTGATTTGAAGTGAAGGGTGACAGTAAGGACACAGGGAGCTGCATCCAAGGCCAGGCTGGATGGGGCTTTGAGCAACCTGGTCTAATGGCAGGTGTCCCTTCCCAGGGAAAGGAGTTATTCCTCCCTTTACTACAGCCAGCTTAGTATGGAGTACAAGACATCTGGGATTTTATGGAGTACAAGAATTTCAGGGCTGAGAATAATCTCAGCTTTAGGACATATGCAGCAGCTGTTGCAGCAAACCCTCTTCAAGTTTCTGGACATTGTAATAATGAATTTGTATGAAAAATAATAAATAACTTAAAAATGGGAACTTAAAAATGGGGTTTTTTTCAACTGATCTATTTTTGCTTTCATCTTGAGCAACAGAAACTAATATATTCACAAAGTAAATGGGCTGCAATGCCCTTGGCAATAAAGTGTTGCAGTCTCCTGACCTCTTAGTTATTAGAAAGCTTATTTCAAGAAACATCATTTTATGCCCTGCATAGGTGAGAAAGAAATCCTGATAGAAAAATAGGGTTTAAGAATGAAAGAGGTATAAGGAGAAAGCAGAAAAAATGATGCACACTTGACTTTTTTTTTAGCTTTCACAATCAATGCACTACAAAACTCACCAAGACATGTCTTGGCAATCAAGAGACTTATTTTCTGGGGGACAGATGTGAACTGAGCATTGGTTTTTCTAAATAAAATCCTGTGTTTGACTTAAAAGTCTTTGAAAAGAAAGGACTTTAGCTGATTTTTAACAAATTTGTGCTTCATTCAACTGACACAGCACAGAGCTTTGTCAACCCCCCCACGCCGACAATATTTATTTTTCTAATATATCACAATTAAGAGCAGAGTAAAAAATTAAACTCAGAATGAGATGTTAATAAAAGACACCCAGAAGATCTGGATACTCAGACAAGAAGTAACATTAGTGCTACAGTGACCAGCACAGGCTGGAAATGCCATCTGGTGGCTGCAGGTTCAGAGCAGTTCAGGAGAGAAAAATTAAGTTTGCTGGTATAGTAAGGGTTGGTTCTTCACCATATTTTACTGAATTGTGGAAGATAAACAGCAAACAGCGTTCTGTGTTAAACAGAAAATTGAGTTAGGATAGTGACAATTACTATTTTGAAAAAGCAACATTTGTTTGCTGATGAAAAACATTGAAATTATTATTATTTTGATTACTGGAGCAGCTGGCACTAGGGCACCACACTAAAAAAGTGGACCAATGGGACAATACTTAAGAAAGCTCAATAAAATATCTTAAAAACATGACTTTAAGGAAAGGTAGTTGGGATTGGTGAGTTTAGAAAAGACACAGTAGGGTGACTTGGCAACAACCCCCACAAAGGTCTGGTGCTGTTGCAAAGAGGAACCTCAGTGATGGCTCTTCATATTCAGGGCCAAACAAAAGGATGAAGATACTGAGTTATAAAAACTTTCAGTATTTCAATACTTCCTACACAAAAGCAGTCCATGGAGCTTCATCAGAGATGAATGCAAACAGGCTCTTCCCTCTGAGGGATGCTGGGTGTATCCTTGCTCAGCTCCAGCTTGGAGGAGACAGGGGAGAAACAGCAAACAGTTTTTGAAATTCCCACCCAGCCCATGCTTTTCTGCTCCTGTGTAGACAACAAGTGAGAATTTCAGCAGAATTCATGTGATTTCATTCCTTAACTTGAGCTTTTTTGCCATCAGTGCAGTACCTCACCCTTAATTTATTTTTATATTCTACAATGCCCCATTGATTCCTCCTGGACAACGACAATCAGATGTCACAGACAAAGGGAAATGAATGAAATCTGACACATTTATTTTAAAGCCTGCAGCAGACTAAATTATAAATAAATCCTGCTTTTTCTGCAGCACAAAGGTTGCAGACTGACTGTCCCCGTGGACTCTGCTCTCTTCTCACTACTTAACAGACTTTCCAACACTTTCTTTTGTCCTGATAGCAATCTCTCAGCAGGACTTTTGGCAGACACATGTATTATGTGTCAAAACTGAAGTGGAAATAACTGATGGGAAGCACAAAAATCTGATGGGAATAGTTATAATAAGGAAATGAATAAACATCAAAACAGTAAAACATAACCATGAAGAACAGAGCCAGAAAGCTTCTGAGCTGCTGCCTGTCTGAGATGATCAGTGAGAGCCACTGTTTTCAGAGTTCAGAGAGTTTTGTATTAATATAGATAGCATTATATATATGCAGTACTTTGGTTTGTATGTTAATTCAATCCATTTACATTCCTATTTAATAGTTAGAAAACAAAGCTCTCAGAAGATGAGCTTTAAATGTGCTATAAATGCACATAGTAGATTAATTTATAGAATACTGTTAACTTAGGAATCCACTAACCACAACCAACACTTGAACACTAAATTTAGTGTGAGTTACTGTTGCACATCAGCTCCTGTAAATGGCCTTTTGGCTTTTACAACATATTTTAACACCACCCATTATCTTTGCACTTAAACAGTTCTGTTTGCAACAGTTCTGTTTAGTAAGTGCTTGTGTACTCAGGGACTTAGTCACTGTGCTTTTCACCAAAACCTCATCTAAAATAAGCTTTTTATACCCCACCTAGCTGGTACACTCAGTGGATTAACAGCTGTGGCTAACGCAGATGGGTAACACCGTGTATAAATGCTGTTATTTATGATATTTGTCTTCCACAGTGTACTTTTATTTACCCAGGGAGACTAATCTCTGTCTCATAACTAAAGGCTATTTACCTGTTAATTCTCCTCTGACCAGCAGCCACCTCCAGTGCCTCCCTCTGTCACTCAGGGTCATCACCAGCCCTTCCTTGGTGTTCTCTCTGTGGCGCCTTCCTCAGATGATGCAGAATCCCAATGGAGGAACACAGATCACTGCCCTGGCCTCCTCAGGACAGCCACACTCAGGGCTTGGAAACTCTCCAAAACTTTGTCTTAACTTAAAAAACCCAAATCATTTGGCAAGTGGAAACACAAGCTGGCTTTTTTTTTTTTATACTCAGTATGTGAGATCATACGCAAGAGGTTCTGTTTTATAAATATACTGGGCAAAAGATGTGGCTACAATGCTCCAGGAAACACTGTTTTTTCCTGAAAGTGGGGGAGATTTCTTCCAAAAGCAGAGTCTTCCTGTAGCAGGGTTGGGACAGAACAAGCAAGAAGAGCCATAAAGGCTTGAGGGGGACAGTGGAGATGGAGGGGCTGATCAGAAGAGCACATAATACATGTCTGGAAAATTATCTGGGACAACCAGGATGAGAAGGAATTCAGAAATACGTGGCTGATCAGGCTGGAGCTTCAGAATGCTCATACCTGTAAAGAAATTCACAGAACTTCAAAAAGATTGATGGATGCAGACTCCAAAGGAGCAATGCAACATAAAAAGTCTCACCAATATTTTGAGCAATGAGCTTTGAGAAAAATCTCCTTCAGGAATCCAGAATTACCTGGAATTCTGCCTCATTCAGTGTTTGGTTATTTTTGTGGACACAATCCGTATTTCTGTGTTGCTGGTTTGGCTCCTTTATTCAGAGACAGGTTTTTGTTCAACCAACTAGGAATGGTACAGCCTAACTCAAATAAACAGCTAGTCCTATCTAGTCTCCATTTGTGAAAAGCCACTTAATTTTATTTTACTCAGACAAGAAGTATAAATTACATTTCAAGCATAATATCTTCATTACTCTGTCTAGCTAGAACTAAAACTCAGTTCCAAAATGTGGACATGTGTTTTGAACGTGATTTTGAACACTGATTTCAAAAGTTTCCTTTCCAATAACTCTTTGATGGGCTCTTTGATAATGTTGTTCACTGGACATTTGGTCAATCTCCAGGATAATGAATTCCCAACAAATGATTACAGAACTCACACTCAGAGCTGTTGCTTCTTGTAATAATTCACAGAGACTGGAAATAACTTTATTTTCTACAGTTGCAAGTCAAACAGGCCTTGCTGAAAAGCGATTCCAAACTCAACATGCGGGTTCTTTTGCATTTACCAAAATCTGTTGATGCTAGAAATGAGTAAGCTCCCCATTTATTTCCAATTAAAACAAAAAAATGGTATTTTTTAACACTGGTCACGACTCTGCATTTTCTTACCACCACTTAATGCTCATTTATCAACAGAAGATAGAACAAGGCAACCTTACGTTGGGGATTAACTCTTGCCAACCAGCTACACCAAAAACCCTCCTATAAAATAGTTTGTATTAAATTAAATATCTCTAAATTCAATAATTGTCAATGACAACATCCTCAATAAACTGTAATGGTGGTGAATTTTCAGCTCCACTGAAGTCACTGGCAAAATTTACAGAAGTTCATCCTCAGCCTCTATCCCCCTTCTAAAAGAGGGTTAGAGGTATCAGTCCTTAAAAACACTGCACCAGGTTCCTTCTAAAATAACACTAAAGTGAGTCAGATCTCAGCAAACTACAGGTGAACTCAATGTTGGAGTTAATCTCAACGTTGACTTTTTTTAAAATATAAATATATATTAGGGTTGGGTGAGAGTCTGAAGCTCAGTTTGCCGGGGGGCTGCAGTTCCAGTGGAGTCACGAAGCGAAAGCACCATTTCAGAATTCACAGAAAAATGGTCATTTACCTGGAGTGGTCACGCTAAGGACAACTTCAAGCCGTGCTCAATTTTCAGTTTTACACTTATCTATCTCACTTTTCTTTAACTGCAGTCCTTAAAAGCTCCCCAAGAGAAACAGAGCATCAGATCAAAGTGTGATACAAGGCATATCAGGAACAAATACGGGCACAAAAAGATGGAGCTCTCGGGGGGACATTAGGTCTGCTCCCTTGAAATCTAACAGAAACTTCTCCAGGAGCTCAGTGAGGCCATCATTAAATGGTTTGGATAATCTTTTAAGATTTTGCAAGTCCTACAGGAATTTCTCAGTGCCTCTGAACTGCTTTTTTTATCATATAAAAAGGTTTTCTCATTTATTTTTTCTTGCAAGCCATATGGGCATCACCACTTTTCAACACACAGTGTAGGCAGAAAATGTTACACCATTTGACAAGTCATTGAGTGGCAAGAGGATTTTCTCCACAGAAAGGAATTCTTCATAATAATCTTCATGAGTAATAGGTTTAGATAAGACATGGACAAACTGGATGGTACAGAAACTTCTCAGTATCAGGCAACAGACAATCACATACCTGATATGATGCTGAGAGGAATGACCAGTTTTGTTGCAGACTGGCAGTAGATCAATACAATACACTCCAATTAATAAAAAATAAAATTCCTTTTTAAAGTTACTGTCAGTATAAAGCTGTGCTCTATACTGATAATATTACAGTGATCAAACAGATACAGGGGGAAAAAGTTACATCTGCAATGCACTCGATTCTCCAGATTCTTGTGTCTTTTCCATGTAAAAATTAATGATTAATAAAATTGTCTGTTTAAAATTCAGTCAAGGCCATGAATGATAGGAGATGTAACTCTCAGAGAGTAAAATAGAATTTGGTTCCTTTCTGGGGGAAAACCACCCACATCTCCTTCAATAAGAATCTTTGTTCAAAGGTTAACAGGAAACTTCAGGTTGATTTAAGGTAAATGTCAGCTCCTGTTATCCCAGAAGATAAGAAACACAAATGCATTGGTAACATTATCATGTTGTAATACATTACTGAATTATACAACAATGTTATTTCCCCAAATTCCTACAACCTGTATGACTTGATAGGGACACAGACATTCTATATGAGATAATAAAGTGCTTTCATAAAGGATCACAACTTCCTGTGTTTATGACAGAAGTATTTACTAAAATGGTATTAAAGATGTTAACCCGTGAGCTGCTGCACCATAAACAGAACAGTCAGTAAAAACACAGGAATAGGATAATTAAGACTTCCCATACAATTCTGCAGAAAAAAAACTGCAACAAAACCCAGCAGTGGTACCTCATGTCTTCTTTTTTTGTTTAGCATAGTTCTGAAATGTGCACTGAGAGCTACAGGATAAACCTCCCAAGCTCTATTTCACATTAGTGATGTGCATTAAAATACCCACTCTCTTTAGACAAAGGATAAGGCTTATACCAAAAAACATTGAGCCACTTGGCTGCATATCTTTGGTATATTTATAGTGCAACTGATCTGCTTCTTCTCTGAAGGGGAAGTTTTTCCAAAGCACTGCATCCCCTTCCACTGAGAACCTACCATGAACTCCTACACTCACTAGGACCTCAGACACCAACCTACTGCTTTGAACAAATGAAGAATGAGCAGTGAAAATAATTTCTTCCTGTTTTGTTTTCTTTTTTTTAAAACATACTACTGAAATAAAATTAAACCATGCCAGATTCCACATTAGAAAGTAACAGCACGTTTCAATCCTCTTGCAAGGTTTCAGGAGAGTACAAATGCGAGCATAAATTTCATGGCAAATTTTAACGACAGATATCCAAGGTGCTACTTGGGAACACTGGTAATTTAATTCCTGTTAATCTAGATTTAGTCAACTTCTGTCTCTACCAAAAAAAAAAAAAAAAAAAGACACCTGTTTTTCATTTTGCTTACTTAGAATAATTATTAATGCATAGAAAGGCTAGAACTACTTAATTAAAATATATTGCAAGCATGTTTTTCTAAACTTATATTGCTAAAGCCTTGCTGTATTGTAAGATTTATTGGAGTTGGCCTTTATACACAGTACCATGTACTCACATAAGCCTGGATATATACCTGTATTTCAGACTGCTATTTGAGTGGGCACACCAACACACAACTATAGTACACATCATCCAGTGGCAGTGCAATCAAAAGTAGCGCCATTGAAATGCCATTTAACGATTCCTCAACTTCTGAACAGCAACATTCTTTCTGAACAGGTCTGTCCAACCAAACTTGCATATTGCTGAACGTTGGCTTCGTCGCTTGGCCCCTTCCTCCTCTTCTTGTACACGCTGTAAGGCATCACGGTCCTCTTGTGAAGCACCCTCACCCTGCCCAGCTCCTTCAGGCGACCTTCATCCACTGCAAAGGGAGCCAGAGAGCACGAAAATTAGTTATGTGATCTTAATTTATGCCACTAACTTCAGAATGCATAATGAAAACTGCATGGAAGTAAGGAGACTAATCTGCAGATGAAAAGCAGAGCTGAGCTATAGAGCACTCTCCTTGAATCGTGGCTGAAAACAGAACCTGTGTTTGCGGTGTGTGAAAAAATAAACCATGCATCACACACTTCCAGTGGTGATATACAGCATTTCTGAAACGCCCCCACTGCTGTATTTAAACATTCACATTTATTTAATGCTCGCTGGAGCCCACTGCCAGAAGTGAAACCCTACCTGGCAAAGACTTGCCAACAGAACTGACCAGAAGAGACTTGCCATTACTGCAACCCTTGCCAAATCCACCAGCAAACTGGGAAAAGTGGATTAAAACCAGCAACCTCCAGGCTGTTTGCCTTAGGTAAGCATCGGGCAATAAACTGCCTTCCCAGGTCAAACTCTCTGTCCCTCCAGCCCCAATCTTTTTCCCCCCTCATTTATACTGGTTTCTGGGTTTCCCTAGTACACTGAGCTTACATGCCCTTATTTCAAGTCCATCCCAAGCTCTGTGGACTGACAGAGCTGTGCAAGCACTAACTGGGTGGGTTAGTGACACAATTCCTCTTCAAAGGAATTACTCTTCAAAGATACACACACCATAGTGGAATCTTGTCAACCTCATATACAGATCCCTCGTGACTTAATTTATCCAGAGTGTAACACATAAGAACATCACTGAACAAGTTAAAACCTCGTTATTTTTATTAATGCAACTGATGCTCATGCTGCTGAATAATAATAACAACAACAACAACAACAACAACAATGTTATATAGCAGCTCTGTGTCACAAAAACTGACTCTACAGTGCTAGAAAACTCTTCACAGAAAGTCAGAGAATACGCCACACACCTGAGGCCACTTCAGGATGAATTAATAAAATTATTACAAAATACTGGTAAAAGAAACCTTGGACTTCTCAGAGCATCAGGTTTAAAAAGTCAGCAATGGAAGAGTCAACTTAAACACAGAACTTGAAACACGAGTTTGAGAATAGAACCATTTAAACTACAGCAGCAGTGGGGAAGAGATGCTTACTAGGATGATAGTATTTGGGGACACAAACTGTGCAAAGACTCCCTTTTGGGCCTTCTTTATGCTTTCAATTTGTGCTTCTTTACGCTTTAAGACAAAGGAGGCCATGAAATGCTTTTCTTTGCAAGACATTCTGAAGAACCTGCCCTCATTTTCCACAGAAATGGCTTATAAACTGTTTTCTGCTGATTGCCTGAAATTTAGTATGTGAAACTTAATGAAGGCTGCTTTAGCAAGTTTAGAATGACTTCATTACTTTTATCTGTGTTTTGATTCCTAACATGAAAGCACAATGTGTTTCTTAAGATTTAACCAGGAAAACATGGTTTGAAGGAAGAAAATTTGAGTAGTACTTGCTAAGATTGTGCTCTGCACTAATTACTCTTGGCAATTGCTTTAGATAAACACCAAGTCAAAAAACACTTTATGGCTTTCTCTCCTGCTTTGAAATCCATTAGGTTTTTGATGTGTGGCCAACACCTTCCTGATATCCCAACAGGTTGGTTTTACTACCAGCCCTTCTGCCTCTTCTGTTACATCCCCCTCCTTCCTGAAAGTTCACCAAGGAAAAATTTGCAAGTTTATCTTCTGTGGGTGACACAAGTGTAAAGTTATTTTAACTCCTTAAATTGGAAAGTCTATATTTACTGCACCTCTAGGCTGACTGTAAGTTTGTGTCCTGAGATGGATTTAGGCCAAGCCCAGCCTTTCACAGCTTCATGCCAAAAGCACTTTCAAAGCCGTTCACTGCTCCCTGTTTGATACTCATTGATCTCAAATGGTCCCAAAGCCTGATGCTCTGGATGAGTTCATCTTTTGGCTTGCAGTGCTCCTGGCCCCAGATTTGATTTCTTTGAGTAACTAAAGCTACTGTACCTTCGGTCTCACTGCAGCCTTCCTGGCTCAGCTGCACTCTGGTCTTGCTGCTCAGCATTTACACCCTCTACTCCACGTTTACTCATCACCTCCTTGCAACCACTCTGGCTCCAGCTCTACAGCCACATGGAACTGCTGGAATGACCAAGCAAGTTTGGTTCTAGGAAATTTAAGCACCACAGCCAAGTGCTCTCTGGGGAGAAGTGGGGCTTGCCAAACCCTGCTGTAGATCAGCCCTTTCTTGGACAGGTTTACAACACAACCCTCAGGCAGGAGAAGGCTCTCCCAGAGCAATCCAGAAAACACCATTATCTTGAAAAAAAACCACTGTAATATACTTCACACATGTTTTAAGCTGAACACAGTAAGTTCTGTCCATAAACTACATATAGAGAGACTTGGTGATGAGTTTATCATCAGGAAAAGTTTAAAGGAAGACATGCTTGGTCTTACAAATTTATGTTTGACTGACTGTATTTGTATTGGTTCTACACATTAAAGTTCATTCCAGATCCTTGAAAGGCAGCAAAATAACAGTCCAAATGTCTACAATGATTACCTGTTCTTCCATTGACTCCCCCTAAATAAGAGATTTAATAATAAAAATAACCTTCTGCAAAAGTACTTAAATAGATATAATTTAAACTCCATCTGAAAAAGAAACCTTTTACTGAGATGCTAAGTATGAGTAAAATAATCTCAGGTACATAATTAAGCTTTTAGAGAAGGCAAATAGGAACTTGTGTCACCATCATAACAAATCTCTAAGTCAAGATTCAGCCACCTTTCAGTTGCTGTCACTCTGGGAGCAACACCTTAGGAATTCAGGAGAGTATTCCCTTTATACACTATTTAAACATAAGCAGAATAAATTTAATGTAATTGAATGGAAAATAAGAGCAGATTGAGCTCTGGCACAGTTCAATAAAGAAATTACTCTCCCAATAAGAAAAATTAAATATCTGCTCCTGTTGAGTGGCACATAATAAAATTTGCTTTATATTTAAGAAGATGCCAACTGAATTCTAACAGGCCTTCCCTGTGTGGCTGATGCTGGGATACAGGAGCAATCCCAATTCAAATGCTTAATTAAATAAAATTTCTTTTTGAAAAGAGGAAAAAACATCTCTATCAGTAAGTATTATTTCCAAGCTTTACTAAAGAAATTTTAATTAGTGACTTCAATTTCTGGGAAGACACTGTCATCAGATAGTGTAACAACATGTTAGGGCAACTTTAATCATTACTGTAATTACTGAATGCAGTACTGTTACCACTAAAAAGGTTTTTTTAAATAGCCTGTTTTTTCCTTCTCCCTCTTTTTCATTTTTAACCTTCTGAGTTGTTGCTTTATTGTATTCTACACAAGAGATGCTGCCACTTGGTACATAAAACATACAAGGTTTTATCCCTTTAATTCAGTTCTATCTATCAATAGCCTGGATGGTAGATACACAAAATGCAGAGAAATCAATCCTGCAGATTGAAAATATCTGTAATTTTAGGAAACTGGGCAACTGCAGCTGCCAACTGTCTTTACAGAAATATTATCCTGTAAGTCTCAGAGCTAAAAATACAGGTGAATTCTTGTTGAATAAATTACCTGTCACTTCTTTCTCTTCTCCCCTATACTCCTAAAGCAGCAAATTATTTATATTGCAGTCATCTACTGAAACTGGAATATAGGAGAGATTTCACATATAATTCAACCTTGCAACTGTGACCCAATAAAGACCTCAGAGAGGTGTTAGAATTTTTTGTTCCCAGCCCCATATACCACTGTTCCATGGAATTCACACATGGAGGATTACCTTCCTGAAAAAACAAAGCAGAGCAGATATGTTGCTAAGTACCAGCAAAAAAACAGAGTAAAAATCAGCAGCGAACCAAAGTCCCTTTATGCAAGGGGTTGTCTCGGCAGACACTGAGTTCTTGACCCAGCTCACACATCACCTTCATCACCTTCATCAAAAGCACAGGCAGCACCACTGAGCAACACACTCAAAGTACCAGCAGTGGGTCTTCAAAGGCAGCCCCAGCCTGCAATCAGCCCCAAAAATGCTTTTACACCCAAGGGACGAGGAGGAATGTGAGGAGCAGGAAGCCTGACATGCTCCTGGACAATCCAGTTCTTATTTCTTTGCACAACCCAAATCAACTTCCTCCTAAAACTACAAGCTCCCTCCTGCAACCAAAACATGCTGATACGCATTCCTGCTGAAATGCCAGTGTGAAATAAGGAGGAATGATTTCACCTTTTTTATTCACTGTTTGGCAGTGCTCTTTTCTAGAGAAATTCAGAATTTCACGTTCGGAATCCTCGCAGCCAGGAATCGATCAGCATTTTTTCTAATGTTATTTTGAGAAGCTGATCTCCAAAGGATTTTATTGTTCAAAAGTGCATTAATCTGTATTATTACTACCTAGCATAAGCTGAGGTGAAAAGCAGCTGCAGGTCAGGGAGCCGGGGAAGGACGGGCAAAGCCGGACAACCGAGACTCGGAGAGCGGAGCTGCAGCTCGGCCCAGGCTGGGAGCCAACACCACGCTGCAAAAACAGGATGGTTCAGAGGGTTTTGCAGCAAACTATTGCTAAACCAGCTCTTTGGTGGTGGCTGAGTTGGGCCAAGCTGGTTTTGATCAGCAGTGATGTGGAAAGGCAGCCACAGTGTTCTCTGCCCCTCTGTAGAGCCAGGTGTTACATGCTGAGCCAATGGCACCTATTCCCTCATCCCCCTTGGATATCTTCCTTACAAATATGATGTTTTTTCATTTGTCAGGGGTATTACTTAAAAATACAAGCAAGCTAACATTTTTTAAAGTCCTTTTTTCCATTTACAGGAAAACAAGTGAAGAAATAATTATAAACAAGCGACAAATTTATTGACATTCTTATTTTTTAAATAGGAAAAAGGACAACTGCCAAATTCCAAAACACCCCACATTAGTCACAGGACAATATTTCTTACATTTTCTGCACAGAATGGATTCAGAATTAGTAAGAAGCCTTA